GAGTGGATCTTTCGAGATATCGCGTCATCAAATGGATTGTAGCGCCATTTCATGGAAATTTACTAAACTTATCAAACGACCCACGTATGTAGTATCCAGTGAATAACAGAAGGCAATATTTATAAATAAATATTAAATTTTTTTGCAGCATAAAATATGGAAATTTACACAAATATGCAAATATGCAGAAATAAATATGCATTTTTAGAATGCTTTTTTAATGAGAATTAAAAAATAATGAGAAATAATAAATTTCTATTTTTATATTACTTTTCAATCTGCTTTCTAAAAAAGTATGAAATTGTATAAGAATCCGATGTTTACTTATAAAGATTAATTTACGTACAATTTGTTCAACAGGAGAAACGTGACGAATTAGATAGTTTGATCACTGCGATAACTACTAATGGTGCACATCCAAGCAAATGTGTCACCATCCAAAGAACTTTGGATGGTAGGTTACAAGTAGCAGGACGAAAAGGTTTTCCTCATGTGATCTACGCTCGCATTTGGAGATGGCCGGATTTGCACAAAAATGAACTGAAACATGTGAAATACTGTCAGTTTGCTTTTGATTTGAAATGCGATTCCGTATGCGTGAATCCCTACCACTATGAGCGAGTGGTATCTCCGGGCATAGGTATGTTGCAATATGTAATCTTGCTTTATTAGACTTTATTTTTAACACAGTATTTGTATTTTATGTATGCATATGATACTTCTTTTTTTTTACAACTTTAATTTCTCTTTCTTTTTCTTTTTTTATTTTTGCCTTTATTATTGTCATGGAAAACGCTCGATTAAGCTTAATTCTATCATTCCCGATTGTAATTATTCAACGAAATAAGTATAAATTGTGCATCCTGGGGTTAACAAAAGAATATTAGAGCGAAAAAAAATCATTGATTGTTGTGGTCTTCTTGGTGTCTTGATGGAATGGGTTGGTTTCCCCCGCACAGACCCGTTCTTTACAGACCTATCCGGCCTGACATTGCAATCTGGTGTGGGTGTCGGTCCCGGTGGAAGACTAGTTAAGGACGAATATACAGTCGGCGGCGGTGGCACGGCTGCTGCGGCAGCCGCTGCCGCGGTCGGATCCGCGATGGACGTGGACGGCGAAATGAATCAAACGATTCAGCATCATCCGCCGGCTCAGTCAACCGCCTCGAACAATGCACAACAAGCTCAGCAAAGCTTTATTCCAGGTTTACCACCGCCCAACTCAAGTAAGTTGAATGTTGCTATTGTATCTTTTCATTTTGTGAAACTTCCACTTTATCAAAAATTTTTATCAATTGGCTTTATACAGTGTCTGTTTGTAATTAATGTTTGGTGACTAGATAGTAATGTATCTTGACGAATCGGTAATACTGAATATTGACAATAATAGAAGTAACTTCGATGATTTTGACTTGATATATGTTGTCAAGATCATGATCTTGTAACTTCCAACAGATTTTAGTCGCTCATCCTTCGTTAAAAAGTTATTAACAAAAAAAGTTTTAAAAATTACGTTTTATTTCTTGTACATATACAATATTAAATACTATTTTATATTTTTATTTACATTTAATGGGTATATAATAACTTAACCCTAACCCAACCATGTACCATTAGATACATACCCATTAAATGTAAATGAAAGTATAATAGTTTAATACATAACAAAATAGTTTAATATATACATGGTTGGGTTAGGGTTAGGTTGTTATATACCATTAAACTTTTCGAATATTTCTGAGTATTTCTGAAAAATGTTCCAATTCATCCCCTTCCCCCTCCTCGGAAGCATACGATTCCTATGCGAAACGATTCCCTTTTTTGTTTTTAAAAATAACTTTGTAGAAACACTAAATCACTGCTTTAAAAACACAAATTCACTACTTTACAAATAAATTCACTATTTTACAAACAAATTCATTCCTTTAAACAAGTTCGTATTGGTTTCGACTTTCCATGCGACTTTTTGCCTCATTCCCCTCCCTGTCTAGGAATTCCTAATGTACTATTCGACATGATTACATTGCTCATTTATTTTGGTGAGTATCGTTTGTATTTACAAATTTTTATCGCGCAATCTTTGGCCGGAATAGTCTGATTCCGGCCTTAGGCAATTTCTTCAAATTGTAAGCGTACAGCTACTTCTTAATGTATTAGTACAAGTGATGATTTATTATTATTAAGTATCCTATATTTCACATAGTATTTTGTGTGTGTGTGTGTGTGTGTGTGTGTGTGTGTGTGTGTGTGTGTGTGT